TTTGTTTTTTTTTTTTTTTTTTTTTTTTTTTTTACGTAAAGGACTAAAAGCATACAGAAACATGCTTACAGTCAACTCTCCTTTATCTATATAAACTAGTGACTATGACTCAGGCTCTCCATTCCAAGTTCGAGTGTGCACACAGATCCTGAAGGTGTCCTGCAAGGAAAGGGTTAGAGGGAACTTGGAATTCACCCTCTCATGCACAGTTATACCCAGCCCACCCCTCCCACCCTAGGCTCCAGCGGAGGCCCTGGGAGAATGTGCTCTTTCCGTACACAAAATACATTTGTATTACAATTCAGTCTGTACAGGCTGTAGTCTATATAGGATATAAATTGAACAGTGAAATTCTCCAAAAAGGTTAATCATGAAAAATTTTTTTTGGTATTGGGGATCGAACTCAGGACCTTGCGCTTATGAAGCAGGTGGCTGCACCACTGAGCTAAATCCTTGGCCCAAGATTAAGAATGAAATTTTCTCTGCTGGGCGTGTTGGTGCAGGCCTGTAATTCCAACAATCAGGAGGCAGAGGCAGGAGGGTCACTGTGAATTTGATGCTGGCCTTGGCTAAATAGTGAGTTCAAGGCCAACTTGAACTAAAAAGTGAAACCATGTCTCAACCCACACCACCAAATGAAACTTTCAGTCCTGGCATCCACTTCTGTAATCCTGGTACTCGGGAGGCTGAGGCAATAGGTCACAAGTGCCAGTCTGGGCTACATAGCAAGACCTGCCTCAAAAGCCACACACACACACACATACACACACACCACACCAGAAAATGTGCTATCCATCTTAGTGGCACACACCTATGATTCCAGTTACCTTGGAGGCTGAGACTAAAGGATTGCAAGTTTAAGCCTAGCCTAGGCAACCTCTCTCAAAAGAGGAATAAGAAGGGCTGGGGATGTACACAGTGTTAGAGCATTTGTGAACATGAAGCCCTGGGTTCAATCCCCAGTACCACCAAAAAAAAAAAATTTGCTGATAGTAACCATCACTTTTTCCCATACACAATCAAGAACTGGCATAAATTGACAATGAGTGAAAAATGGATAATTCATTTAAATATATATGTATACATCCATTTACAATTAGCTATCAAAAGATGATAGGGAACAAGAGAACACAGTGATAGAAACTACCTTTTAAAAGAGCAGAAAAGTTCTCTTCCTGTTTACCGCCTCTTCTTAACTCTTTAGAAAGTACAACCACTGCCTCCAACATGCTGGACAAGAATATCTATGCAGAAGTAAGAAGAAAGCCCTTTCAGCAATCAGTGGGTAGACTTAGAAGAGTTTTCTTCGCATTGGGCAACTCTTTTTAAATTTTTTGTGGTACCCGGATGGAACCTCAGGCATTGTGCACAACTGTTCTCCTGCAGAACTGACTGCTTCTGCCGGAAATCTGTCGGCAGCACAACACACACTGATGCTGTGCATTTGGTCCAAAGGAGCAGGAGAAACAAGACTACTAAGTGTTACTTCATGTAGACCAGGTGTAGCACACATTGGTGTCAATGTCTGGCTGTGTAGATGTTGGCAGGAGAGGAGCTGGGTAAAGTAACTGTTGCTCATAGGTCTGTCTGTGGCCCACCCCTGATTTTTTAGGATGATACTAAGTGACTGGTACCATGGGAGGGAGCATAAAATGGTAGAAAGATTAAGCTAATGGAAAAGGGCTTGTTTACAAGAAATCTGTCAATTTTCCTTTGAAAAGGAAAATAAAATCTCTTAGGAATTTGGTATTCACACCTCAGAGAACTACAACACAAAAGCACAAACATATTTGAGTTAATGTTAACCCTTTATGTCTAGGTTGAAGTTTCTTATATTTGTTTAAAATTAAAGGCATAATTTTGTATCTCCTTTGATAAAAAGTGTGTATAATGTAAAGTAGTTTTGCATATTCTTGTGCTGCATATGGGATGAATTTTTAGACTTGAAGTAGAACCTTGTAATTTGTGTAAATGACAAGTATAAAATCCTACCATAAAATGCTAAAAATATGCAGTTTTGAATAAAACCAAGAAATGCAGCATTTAAAAAAATGTTTATAATCTTTTCTTTTACAAGCCTTGCCTGCATCAGCAATGTATCCCTAGCAACCACAGAAATCCCAAGGACAATGAGATCTGCCTGGAAGAAAGTATGGATGAAAATTAAACAGGAGAGAGACATTTAAGGCTGTGTAAAGAAGCCTAAGCCTTCAATCGATCAACATGAGTTAAAACCAGCCCTTGAGAACAATCAGGTTTTTAAGTCAAGGGTCCACAGTACTAAGAAATCAACTAATAACAAATTCTGGCAGGGCTGTGGGGAAAAAGGAACCTTTCTCCATTGATGTTGAGAATGTAGATTGGTGCGACCATTGTGGAAATCAGTGTGGAGATTCTTCAAAAAACTAAAACTAGAGGTTCCATGTGACCCAGTTAATTCCCCTTCTGGGGGAAATAATAAATGCATCATACTAGTGTGATATATGCTCACTCATTTTATAGTAACTCAATTTATATTAGCTAAATCTTGGAAATAGCCTGAAGGCCCATCAACTGACAAATGGATAAAGAAGATGTGGTTTTTTTATATAATGGGGTACTATTCTCCCAAAAGAAGTATAAGCTTGAGACATTTTTAGCTAAGAAGATGGACCTCAAGACCATACTATTAAGTGAAATAAACTGGACACACGTTTAAATAAGGCACTGTTTCTCTGGTGTGAGAACCCAAAAGTGCAAGTAAGGACCAAAATTTCTAATGGATATTGGGAGATGGGAAGAAAGTGTTCAAATGAGAAGGCAGCTGAGGGAGGGAGAAGGGGGAAAGGACAAGAAAAAAAGAAAAAAAATGGAAGCAAGCTTATGTAAATAAGGGGAAAAGGGGTCAAAGGGAGGGGACAGGAATGGGTAAAAAAGAAGCAAGATAAATCATGTACAAGTAGAAATTCCCTATGATGAATATTATCAGTATATTTTTTAAAATGTACCAATGAATGAATAAAATAATTTTTTTCTGTAGAAATATTAAAAATGAACGCAAACAAAAGGTTGGCTCTATCACCTAGCAATAGTGAAGAGAGAAGGCCTGCTGGGCCATGATTTTGCACAGCAGACTGATACAGGGATGGTAGTGAACCCAGACCTTCACAGATAACACATAACCTACAAACCCATACAGTAACAGCACTCACTAGGCGGGACCATGTTCCGGTAATTCTTCTGTGAACTCTCCCTGTGGAAGTCCCTTTGAGCTGCATCCAGACGCTCCCACTCTTCCCAGGTTACAGACACAGCCTCTAAGGTCACCAACCCCTGGAACAACATGAGATCCCCATTCAGTTCCTGCTATTCCTGGACAGCACCACCATTCACTTGTCTGAGGATGTGGCAGACTTAAGAGATAAAGAAGAAGCACTAAGAATCGTGAACCATGGCTGCACCATCTTTGCTAACAATTTTTGTACTTACTGGGAAATTCTGAAGGGGCCAAAAATAGGAGTGAACACTATCTTGTAAATCTGAACAGCTTTTCTGCGCCCTATGTACACTGACTTGAGAAACAAAATATTTGAGATAAATCTCGGTGATTTACCAAAATGGAAAGATATAGAAGAAAAACATACAACCAAAAAGCTCAACATTCCAGTGCTGGCTCCCTGAAATGCTGTTCCCTCATCAAGGAGACAAACCCAAATATCTGAAAGAATGGGCAGCTTACTCACACAGCAGGTGCTCAGAAAAATTTCCTTTCCTTTCCCAGGACCATTTCACAATAATTATCCAACAGGATGATCTTTTGAGTTGGGCATAGTGGTATATAGCTGTAATCCTAGCACTCTGGGAGACTTTCCTAAGCAAAAGGCTGAAACCCAGCCTGAACTACTTTAGTAAGACCTGAACTGAAGAAAGAAAAACAAAAAACAAACAAACAAAAAAACCCAGGTGTGATGGCATATACCTGTAATCCTGGCACTCAAGAGGCTGACACAGGAGGGATTACTGCAAGTTCAAGGTCAGCCTTGGCTACACAGAGTATTCAAGGAGAGTATGGACTATATACCCTGTCTCAAAGAATCAAAAAGGGTGGGGGAAGCTGGGGATGTAGCTCAGGGCAAAGGCCCTGCATTCAATCTTCAGTACCATCACCGCCACCACCACCACCACCACCACCACTTAAAAAAAAAAAAGAGGCAGTCAATGGTGAAAAGCCGTAATCCTTAAAAAGGGAAGATTCTAAACTGGTGAGGGAGATATTTGTCAGGTTCCAGTGAGGATCACAAACTGACTCTCTTGCTCACTTTATGTGCTTCTACATACATATTTACAGGTCAGGTATCCTGTATCTGATACGCTTGGGACAGATTTTGGAGCTGTTCAGATTTGGTTGAGGATTTCTAAACCAAAAACCCAGACTTTGTTGTTGTTCAAGCCCAACTTGGGTAACTTAACAAGTCCCCATTCAAAAGAAAAAGTTCAAAAAGGACTAGGGATAATGCTCAGTGTATCTCACACCATATCACTAAATATATATGTTATTCTCAGCTTATGCAAGGTATGTTTGTGATGACTAAAACTAGTTATCTTTGGCTTTGGTCAAGCAGCAGCAAAGTGGGGTTCAATCCCCAGTACCACCACCACCACCACCACCCACCCACACACACACAAGATATGGTTGCTGGTAACTGGATCTTCTAACTCCCAGATCAACACTTTTCTGTTTTAAATAACTATTTAACTAAATCTCTCTGTACCTCATATTCATTTTTAAAATAGGAGAGGAGCCGGGCATGGTGGCGCACTCCTGTAAATCCCAGCACTTGGGAGGCTGAGGCAGGAGAATCACTGTGAGTTCGAGACCAGCCTGGGCTACATAGTGAGTTCCAGGTCAGTCTCAACTACATAGTGAGACCAAAATAAATAAATAAATAGGAGAGGATGGCATCACTATGGTATTTTTTCAGCTACAAGAAGTCTTAAATTGCTACAAAAGGCCATCTGCTAATGCCAAATATTAATGTCACTTGGTTTATATGCACCACTGCTCACTTTCACTCTTGTAAGTAATCAGCTGCTTATCCCAATAACATTCTTTTCTTCCCGCCTTTAAAGCCAAATTTGGAGAACTCTGACAGTGGTTGAATGGTGCTAATATAGTAACATGTCCTTTTTTTATTTTCAGTGGAGGCATTATGTGGAATTATGTGCATAAGTATGTAACTTCATTAGTGAAAAGCTTGACATAGGACAATGAACCAAGGTCACACATTTTCTGCTAAAGTCATAATACCATATCACTAAATATGTATGTGGTTCTCAATTTATGCAAGGTATGTTTGTGATGACTAAAACTAGTTAGCTGTGGCTCTGGTCAAGCAGCAGCAAAGGGGGTTAAAATGATAAGTACCACATAGTACAGAATTAAGTACAGTGCTGTCTTTCACTGAAGCAACGCTTATGTAGCATATGTAAAATCCAACAGTGAACTGGAGTCGGTGGCACAAGCCTGCAAACCCAGCTCTCTGTTAAAGTGGAAGAGATCACAAGTTTGAGCCTGCCCTAGGCAATTTTGCAACTGACACCCCAGCTGAAAACAAAAATATAAAAAAGGGGTGGGGACGTAGTTTATCGAGACAGCCCTGAGTTCAATCCCCAGTATAAAAAAAAAAAAAAGCAAAAATTCAACAGCATTCCATGAACTACAACTATATTAAACCTGCTTTTGCTGAAAGCGCACCACAAACTCGCCCTGGGAACTAATGATTGCAGATGGAAAAGTTAGATGCATCAATGTGGAAAGAGGAAGGGTCAGTATACAGTTAAAAAACAAAATGGGACCTTCACGTTCAAAATGGTGAACATGTTCTAGCATGAGTAAACGAAGGACCTGAGCCCGCTTTCCATCCTGACGTCCCGAACAGCCTACTCAAGAAGAGGATGAGTGAGTTGCAAAGGGTGGCAGTAATAGATGTTTAAGGCTAACGTTCAAGTGAATCCTTAAGTTCACAGAAAATGTGGTAAGGGAGGAAAGAATAGCAACTCGGAACCCAGCTCACGCACTGGCGACACGCCCACCACCAGGTACGTCTCTCCTCACCTGGGGCGAGTCCCGGGCCGGCGAGGCCTCCTCCCCGCTTTCCGGGCAGTGTCCCCGCACCCAAGCCTGCAGCTCCTCAGGCAGGATGCTCAGGAACTGTTCCAGCACCACCAGCTCCAGGATCTGCTCCTTGGAGTGCAGCTCGGGCCTCAGCCACCGCCGACAGAGCTCCCTGAGCCGGCTCAGCGCCTCCGCCGGCCCAGCCACCTCGTGGTAGCGCAGCCGCCTGAACTGCAGGCGAGAGCTTTCGGAATCCGCGCAGGCCCCGGGCGCGTCGGACTCCAGACCCCCGCGGGAGTCTTCCTCCACTTTCACCACCACAATTTCCTCCGGCAGGAGTGGCTCGGAGGCCCCGGAGCTGGCAGCCATCTGCGCTTTGGGCGGTCAGGCTCCCACACGACTCTTTCCGGCATCTGCCGACTCCCTTCAAGTGTCGACTTCGGGTGAGAGGAGCTGACGTGGAACCGAAGGGCAGACCCCGCGGCAAGCGAGCACGGACAACGGCCCACACACCAGCCCCGGAGCCGCCGCCCCCGAGGCTCTCGCCCTTCAGCAAGTATCCCGGGTGGAACCTGCCAACTCCACAGAACTCAAACAACCAGGCCGGAAGTGCGTCACGGAGTCGCAGTGTCCCTCCTTCCCACTTCCGGGCCGCTCTACGCGCTGGAAGACTGAGATGTGGGTGTGAGGAAGGGTGGTGACTGGGAAGTAAGAAAGATTAAAATGCGTTGTCGGACGTGGTGACGTGCACCTGTAATTCTAGCACTCCGGAGGCTGAGGCAGGAGGGTAGCAACGAGTTCGAGGTTAGCCGGCCCTAAAAAGTGAATTCAGGCCGGGCGTGGTGGCACATGCCTATAATCCCAGCACTTGGGAGGCTGAGGCAGGAGGATCCCTGTGAGTTCGAGACCAGCCTGAGTTACATAGTGAGTTCCACGTCAGTCTCTACTACAACTACATATTGACCCTGTCTCAAACAAACAAACAAACAAACAAACAAAAAAGCCGGGGATTTAGTTCAGTGGTTCTGCCCCCTGCCTCGCAAGCACAAGGACCCATACGCAGTACCAAACAAAACAAAACAAAACAAACAAACAAAAACAAAAAAACCCCAAAACAAAACAACAAAACAAACAAACCAAAAAACCGATGCATTAGGTAGGTGAATGAGTGCACCAACAACCCACCATGAGTACAGTCACTATATACAGCAAGCATGCTGTTCTCACCGAGGTTGGAGCTGGAGGTGGAGATAGGCGGGGACCTGGGCTGCTTCCTACCATTTGATAAAATAAAAATAACGGGTTTAGAAGCCAGTGACCGAGCACTGGGGCAGGGAATCTTAAGGATAGGGAGAAAACAAAAGGAATTTAAAGAGTTTCCTTGCATGTCATGTGTTATGGCTTTGATCCTAATAACCGCTAGAAAACTGCGTGGGGTGGTGCACGCTTGTAATTCCAGCCCTCTGGGAGGCTGAGGCAGTAGGACCTCAAGTTCTAGCCCAGCCTGTTCAGTTTAGTGATTTAGCTGGAGATGTAGCTCAGTGTAAAAGCCCTAGGTTCAATATTCACTTCTGGGTGTAGGGGAGGAAGGAAGGAAGAAATAAAAAGGTTAGAAAAATATATGTCTTGCCTGATGTTAAGCAGCTGGTGACTTGAATAAAACCAAATGTGCTATTCAAATTCCAAACTCAGGAATTTCCACTGCTGTAAGTTAATTTATAAGTGCCCCCAAGCTGCCTGGTTAGTTCCTTCCTTCCTTCATTTAAGTAGCACATGCGACTGGGGGTTTAGCTCAGTGGTTCTGCCGCCTGCCTCGCAAGCACAAGGACCTGAGTTTGATCCCGGGTGCATAGGTGACCACCTGCTGTGCTTTTTGCTCCCAGGAAAGTGTAAGTCTACTGCAATGTGTTGACTATAGTACTGATAGTGCCTGTTTGTGAAGATACATGCAGTACTAAACAAAATATTCATCCCCCTTTCTTTTCTAAAGCTCAAACGTAGGGTCTTGTGCATGTTTGGCAAGTGCTCTACCACTGAGATACATTCTCAGGCAAAAAAATAAAATATTCTTAAAAAGATTTGACTTTGGGTTATGCAGCTAACCCCAGTGTTCACTTTTGTTTTCCTTTAAATTCAAAGTTTGAAGAAGAAAGATGATTTTTGTATTTCTTCCAATCCCAAAAGGATGTAAATATGGTAAGAACTTGTCTAAATGAAGAAAAAAGAAAAAGGATTTTTTTTCTACAATGAGTGAAGTCCCTGCTGCTTCAAAGAGCTAGGTTAACACACAATAGTGACTTATTGATAGATGGATTTTTAAATGCCTGAGATCAGTTCCCTTGTGCAACGATCAGTACAAATATTAGTAACTGATATTTTACTCAAAACACTGAAGCTCAACATGATTTGTAGAGAAAAATCTTCAGTAATTAGAGAATAACAGGTAACATTATTATTATTATTATTGTTGTTGTTCTTGTTGTTGTTGTTGTCATTTTTTTGGTATCGGGACCAAACTCAGGACCTCATGTTTGCCAGGCAGGCACTATGCTGCTGAGCAAAATCCTTGGCCCATAGGCAGCATTATTTTTAAAATGCTAACAAGGTCGTGGTCTGTAGAGAATTTCCTAGTAAGAATTTTAGACTGGGTGCTATGGCACACATATGTAACCCCAGCTATCTAGGAGTTAAGTCAGGAGGATCCTAAGTTCCAGACCAGCCTGGGTAACTTAGTGAGAACTTGTCAGAAAATAAAAGGGGTTGGGTATGTAGCTAGGTGGTACAGCACTTGCCTAGCACTTAGGAGGCTGTGGGTTCAATCCACAACACCACCAGGGGAAGAAAGTTTTTGTGATTAAAAAAGTTTTCAATACATAATAATAGTAATAACTAACATTTGCTGGGTGTTCACTCTGGGCCAGAATTATGCCAACTTCTTTACAATTTTGTGATATATGTAATCCTCACAGTTACTGATTGAGTAGGTACTATTTTATCTGTCCTTTTTCAATGCAGTCCTAGGTTATAATTCTTTACCATGGAGACAGTTTCATTTTTTGTTTTATTTTGTGGTTCTGGAATCAAATCCAGGACCTTGTGCATGCAAAAAACATGCTGTACAACTGATCTACATCCCCAGCCCTCCATGAAGACAATTTTAATTTACCACATAGCTATTTTTATCGGATGCTTTTCTGCATTCTAACAGTGAAAATAAATTTTTAAAACCTACTGTAAAACCAGACCTTGATCTACTTTCTCCCCCACTTAACAAGCCAGATAATCCCAACAATTACAGTACAAGGTATAAATAAAACATACAGTGAATGTTTAAATTTTTAAAACTTATTACACTAAAAGACACATTGTCGTTAGCTCTCCTCAAAATACTCAAAGATTCTCCCTCACTTCAAACACATTCCGTCATTCTTGGCAATGTGTAATAAAGTTTTTAAAGCTTAAACAGCCACCATAGTTTTCAGTCACCCCTTGTATCTTTTCTTCATATCTACCTATGCTCACACATTTTATTCTTACTAGAATTCTCTTGCATTCAACAAGTCCCTTTCTTTTTCCAGGGACAAATTAAAAAAAATCACAGCTTGGGCCAGGGATTTAGCTCAGTGGTTCCGAGATCGATCCCCAGCATCCCCCCCAAAAGAAATCACAGCTCTATATACCTCTCTTGGGATAGTAACAATTGTCCTTTTCCAAGGAGAGGGGCTATATATATTGTGATACCATAAGGGGCTTACAGACTGGCTTTCTGCCCCCTCCCTTGCCTCTTCGTGGTATAAATGATAAGCTTTCTGATGAGAGTCTTGGTTTATCTGTATATTCAGTAGAGAACTGTCCTTGCTCAATTCTGTGCCATGCTGCTGAGTGATGCAGGGTGAGGGCAGGGGTGTGCAAAAACAGGCTCCAAAATCATGACCTTCGACTTTCCCTGGTTCCTTGGCTTGTCTGTCTGTCTTAAGTTTGGCTCTTTTTCATATTCATTTTTTCAGCAGCTATATGAAAGTGTTTCTATCACTGTATTGAACAGTGATTCAAATATATGTACGATGTGCTATGAGTCTTTCATGAATATATATAGTACCTCACTAACAGTCTGGTGTGGTAGCACACACCTGTAATCGATCCAAAGCTCAGGAGGATAAGGTGAGGAGATTGTCATGAGTTCAAATCCTGCGTCAACTATAAACTGAGACCCTGTCTCAAAAAAAAAAGGCTGGGGATTTAGCTTAGCAGTACAGCACGTGCCTGGCAAGACAAGGTCCCTGTACCGGGGGTGGGGGTGGGGCGAGGAAGAAATAAAAGAAAATATGTTTAGAGCTGCTAGAGACAGCACATGTATGTAATCACAGCAATCAGTGGCAAGAGGATCTCAATTTCAAGGGCAACGTTGGGACTTACTGTGGTCCTGACCCCAAAATAAATTAATTTTTTGAGAACTATTTAGTTCAGGCTGGACTTGAACTCACTATGTAGCTCAGGCTGGACTCAAATGTGTAGTAATCCTCCTGCCTCAGCATTCCAAGTATTGGGATTACAGGCATGTACCCTCATGCCCAGCAATTCTTATTTTTAGAGACAGTGTCTCCCTATGTAGCACAGGCTGGCTTTGAACTTGAAATGATCCTCCTGACTCAGCCTGTCAAGTACTGGGATTACAAACATTCACCACCATACCCAGCACCAGAAATAAAATTTAAAAGGGATGCTGAGCTGGGGCTGAAGCTCAGTGGCACTGTGCCTGCCTGACAAGTGCAAGGTCCTGAGTTTGATCCCCAGTACCACAAAAAAAAAAAAAAAAAAAAAAAAAAAAAGGCTGGGGATTTAACTCAGTGGTTCCACTTCCTGCCTCTCAAGAGCAAGGTCCTGAGCTCAATCCTCAGTACCAAAAATAAAAAAGGGATGCTGATGTAGCTCAGTGCAGAGGCCTTGGGTTCATTCCCCAGTAATGCAAAACAAATAAAAAACACATCTAGAAACACAATCAATGATTTAGTAATAAACATTGTTTACATGAGGGAAGCTCTAGGTCGGTGCCTTATTTTTCAATTCATATCCATTTATACTATTTGAATCTTTACTGTGTACACATATGAACCTTTTAAAGCTACAATTCTCCACTGCACTGCATTAAACCCACTACTGCATCACCTGCTGCACCTCCTATTTACTCCATTATCTGCTGAATCTCCTACTCATTCTCAAAAGGTGACTTTCCTATTTCATGGAAAGTGAAAGCTATCCAGTCAACAGCTCCCTGAATGTCCTAGAGCCCCTGTTTAAAGGAACATAATACCAATTCTGTGTTAAAGGTGTATTGTATTACATACCCATGGTTATTATTTAGAATACTTGTATCAATTAATTGTTAATTTTATGAGCTTTATTATTTTAAACAATGAGTACTTAACAGGAAAATATTTTTAAAGTATTGAATTTTTAATATTTATTGAGTATCTATAAAAAATGTTTCAAATTTTTCAGCACTATTTTTGTTGGTACAAAGTCTAAAAACAACAGAAACAAATTCCTACATGAACTACAATGAAAATACCAATAAGATTTTACAACAAAAATAATCTTTT